ACCAATAGAAATGCGGTATTAGAAGTATATACATGAATACACTACACATACATTTTAAAATGCACATATATTTTGAAAAATCTTTAGCTTGGACAAAATCTCAACCCAAGCTTTCAAAGCAAATATATATTGAAGATTTCAAAACAATTATATTGGCATTGCTAATCAAAACATTTGGAAAAATATAATGTTTGGGAAATCTTGTGTTGAAAGTAAGTCGCACTCCAGTCTTAGGCTGCTGAAATTCAACAGTAAATATTGTTCTTTTTTTTTTTTTTTTGAGTTTAAGCAGTGGAAGAGGTAGGTTAGGCTCTGAAGGGATTGCCTTATCTATTTTCTGCAAAAAAATAAAAATAAAAGGTCCCTGCTCCCATCCTTGAAAATGTTTCCAACCAAGGAAAAAATAATAATGATGCAGTTTCGCCCACTGTAGCAACATGACCTGATCATCACTATATCCTTCTGATGCTTTTGAAGATCAAAAACAATTTTGGGAAAGGACAGTTCCAACCAAAACAAGTTTGACTTGTTGCTTCTGAAGTGTCTAGTAATTCTATATCTTTTAAATCGTACAATTTCTCTGTGTAGCAATTGTACATTTAATGTATGTGTCCTTGTCTAAGATTTGCTCTATTATAGCTATCAAATAGCAATACAGTATATTGCAGTACGTATATATCCAAATGCGTGTTTCTCAATTTTGGCAAGTTTAAGACAGGCAGACTTCAACTCCCAAGATTGACTGGGAAATTCTGGGAAAGCCCACCCATCTTAACTCTATCTACCTTAAACTTGCCAAGATGGAGAAACACTGGTCTAAATATTGACATGACCATAGGGGCTATTAGATGGAAAGAAATTAAGCCTTGCTTCAGTGTTGTGTGGAGACTTCTGCCATGTCCTCCCTCCCTCCCTGTTTCTCCATGAGAGAATTTGAGCATTCTCAGTTCTTACTGGGAGTTGCCCAGAGATAAATGAATAAAAAACCAACAAGAAGTTCTTAAAACCATGACCAGTTTTAAGAACTAGTTGTATTGGCTTTTTGTTGTTGTTGTTAATTTGGAATTAGTTCTTAATTTGGAATTAGTCCTTAATTTGCAAGTAGAAAAATGACTTTCCATGATGCCTTTAAGTCAGCAAAGTATATAAATGACAAACAAATGAACCAACCTTTCTCTTGTAGTCTATAGCATTGAGCATTTCCTGTAACATCAGCATCTCTTGCTTCATGACAGGACTGTTTTTGTCATTCTGTTCTAAAAGGAGATATGTAAAATATGTACAAAGCATAAGAGAGGGGAAACCCATCAAAATAGCATGTGTAAGTAGTTTTAAGGCAGCGTGTTTTCATTTTTTTTCCTATCACACTTTTACTTTGCTTGCAACCAATGTTAGATAAATATAAACATGTATCTCTCAGTAAGTTTATAAATACATTCTGGTGTGCTATCTAATGTATTATGTCTCACTTTGTCCAGGTTTGTTTTACAAAAGGAGTGAGCATTAACCAAAATCAGTACCCTGTCAGTATTCTGAATATTTAGTCTAGTTTTTTGGATTTTAAAGCAATATGCCTTTTCCCCCCAATAAAAACTAGCCAATAACTGTTATTTGGTCTGAAAGCTCTGCCTTTTTATCTCAGTGATGAATAAACCCAGGTTGGAGAGGACATTTCTGAACAAAAAAGAAAAGAAAAGAAAATTGTTAAGGCCTTCTTCTTGCCCAAAGTCCTTTTTCGCTCATAGCTGAATTTCTGAAGGAACAAAATATATTATGGTTCTCCTAAGCTGTATGCATTTTGGAGTATGCATGTATGGAAAGTTTATCTCTACTTCTAAATGGGGTGGTTTAGAGAAATGAACCCATTACTGTTTTATCATTAACAATTCATTAACATTACTTGGATTGAACCATCCATTGTAAAAGACAAACTACATAAATAACCTTAAATAACCCTGTATTTTCTTGCCGTTTTATTTAATTTTTTAAAAAAGCTTAGGATTATTATAGCTGCAAATTCACATTTTCTAGTCTAGCCACAACCTGGAATCTTTTATATTTGGGCAGTAGATAACTACTGTTAAATACATAAATAAAGAATTCCATTAAAAACTAATTAATTAATCTCCTTTCCCCTATTGGTCTGACTGCATCCTTAAAAAAAATTCTTTAAAAAAAAAGGAATTACTCATACAAAATATTACAGCCACAGTGTGACTTAAAGATTAAACTGATAGAACATGAAGGTATATGTTCATACATAAATACATACCATTAAATTCAGGGATACTTATCTCCATGTTAAAATGCAGAGGGGCACAATCTTAGCTGGACTAATATTTTGCTGGATTTAGCCATGAGCCCTAAAGAATACATTAGGCTAAAATGTTAAGCCTATTTTACTTGGAATTTATTTTGCATGGAATATGTGTCAATAGCAGTCTGAGTCTTAATGAAATCCTGCCCTTCACTCCAAAAAGAAGACTCTGGATGTTCAATGAAAACCTATAGCCTATAGAACTAACAGCCAATTTTTACAAATATGCAAGATCCACCATTTTTTCTTCATATGCATTGTGTGGGAAAGCTTACCTATGTTGCATATAGTTTTAAATCTGAAGTCAAACTCCTCTTGCAAATCTTCTAAATATTTGACGTCTTGTTCTGTCAGCTGTTTTCAGATTAAATGCATTGAGTAGTAAGTAGATCTAACATAATTCATAGCATATAGCAAACAATAATGACATTCCCTAGGAAGCTTTAGTTTCTCTGAAATGAAATGGAAATGGTACAATTGCTATCTGCTTCCTTAGTGGGAAAAGTAGCTGGGATTACAAATCATACTAAACCAAAAAGTGGATTGATTTTTACCCAGCCAACCAATTTTAGTGTATTCAGCAAAACATTCTAATGGTACCCTATTACACTGTGTATCATGCTGTATTGCATCTGTAGATATATAGTGTTTCTATGCATGTTTATTCAGAAGCCCCAATTTGTTCATTGGTGCTTATGCTTAGATAAGCATGCACAGAACTGCAATCTTAAATTTCTCTTTTGCTTTTAATCAAAAAGTACAGCTCACGGGAAAAATCTAGCTTCAATAAGAGGAGACCAGCTGAATCCAAGAGGAATTAAAAGAATTTTGTAGGTGTTCATAATTCCAAAGCAGCTTTCCCAGCCTTGGATTAATTTGCCAGCTCCCAAGAGTATCGGGGAAACAGAATTAGTGGGACAGCATTCTCAGATACTGCGATTTAGTTGTGGAGAAACCTATCCCTGATAAATTAATAACAATATTTTCAGCTCAAAGCTTTGAATGGGGACATTCAAATGAGGTATGTGTCACTTGTACTGTATCTTAAAAAGGGCAACAGTCCACTTTCCATTATATTATCATCTCATTCTTCTGTACTTGTGGATCTAGTTTCAAGTTATCATCATATTTAATCCATATAAAATTTTTTGGTACCGCTATAGTTAATCCTCAACTTACAACTGTAATGGACCCCAAATTTCAGTCCCAAGTCATGATGGTCATACATTGAGGCACCCATATGGCCAACCTGATTTTACAACCTTTTTTGCGATGGTTGTTAAGCAAATGAAGTGTTCCTTTGTTGAGTCAATGCATTCCCATGGTTCTTTTTTGCTGGAAACTGGGTGACCGCAGGGTGTGTGTTCCACTGTCAGAACTCCAGAATTGGGCTATAAGTACCTTTTGAGGTGGGTGTCCATTGTAACATTGAACAGTTGTTAAGGGAGGATTACTGATATGTTAGATCTTCAATCAGATATTAGATGTACAAACTGTAACAACTTGCCTGTGTACTGTTCTTAATTTCAGAACCCTTGAGCTCGATTTTTCTTTGCCTTTCTGAACCCAAGTAGTTTTGTAGTGACTTTTCTAGAGGTCCCTAGAAAAAGAATATTGATAGGTCAGTTCATTAATACTATCCCACTTAGCACAGATTATTTAATGGCAAGTTTTTTGTGAGAGAGAACAGACTAAATTCAATAAGGACAATTGACTTTTGGTAATGGTTCCCATTTGTTCAGCTTTTTCAAAGGCAAAACACAGATGTGGGACTCACAAAAAGTATTCCTAATAACTGGAGATAATTGGACTGCCATAGGTACATTAATTGTTTATCTAAAAACAGCCCAAAGAAAGTTTTAAAAATGATGAATGTTCAATGGCAAATCAAGATATGTTTAGGAACCTAAGACCTCTGCATGGTACAGAATTTACTTCAAAGGAAAAACTTAAAATGAAGAACAGCAGTGTATTTTCTCACCTTTCAACTTTAAAAAAAGGACGGGGGGGGGGAATACAAATACTCCATGAAACTTCAATTGATCTATGATCTATCTATACCTCTCATTATTTGCCCAGGTTTTTTATTTTTAGCTCCTCAGCATCCCTGCTTTATTGTGGTAACCAAAATTGGACACAACTTTTCAGGTGCAGCTTGATCAGTACTCTATCAAAACCTCACAAGGCTGCAGGTGAGATTGCAATGCCTTTTTTTTGGGCAACTTCAACACACTGCTGTCTCAGGCTCAATCAGAGATTCTTGTAGATCTTTATCATAAGTACCATAGCTGAGCTGAAATCTTATATTTCTCACTACTGAACAGTATTTTAATGAATTTAGGACCAATGTTCCTCTTAACTAGTATATTGAAGCTTTGCATATTTGATGGACATTCCTTCTATCTCCTCATCATCATCATAAAATTACCTGAACTGGCATACTTGCTGAAGCCAATATTCTTCTTTCTTCTCTTAAACAGTTTGAAATAACTAGTGCTATATGTAGAGGATTACTTTGATATTTTGCCTGAAAAACAAAGAAACATAAGAAAGATCTAATCCTAATAGCAAACAAAGAAACATAAGAAAGATCTATCCTAATAGCAAAAGTCAGCCACAGTTGGTAGAACAGCCCTGGACTCATTGCAGAAAATTCATGTCCATTCTTAATATGTATGTAATCTATGTGATAGAACTATGTAATCTATCAGTTATATGAATCATAACATCTCTCTGCATATCAGACTCTTTTCTGTAATTTCTTTATTTTCCCCATTTCATCTGTGTTGTTTCTCTCAAACTTGTATTTGGTTCTCTAACAAAAGGTAGATAGAAATTCAATATCTGAAGTTTTCACCATCATTGCGTCTGCATGCTGCAATAAGTTTCTTACCCACTTAGTCTTTCATTAAAAAATGCTTACATGATGCTCACAAGATATTAAACCCTTTAAGGGAGTACAGCTGGGACATTTAACCAATGAACTTGAGTAATTGTTGTGTGCATCATTGAGATTTTAATTTCTGGCTTTCCTTTAAATCTTTACACATGTTTTCTTTTATCCTCTTTTTTCCTAACCTTCCACTCTACCATTTCTCCCATATCAGAATCAGATTAATAGAAAGGTCTTTGACAGGCACAAAATATAGCAATAGCACTTAGACTTACATACCGCTTCACAGTGCTCTCCAGCACCCTCTAAGTGTTTTACAGAGTCAGCATATTGCCACCAACAATCTGGGTCCTCATTTTATCGACCTTGAAAGGATGGAAGGCTGAGACAACCCTGAGCCGGTGAGAATCGAATTGCCAAACTGCTGGCAGCCAGCAATCAGCAGAAGTAGCCTGCAGTACTGCATTCTAACCACTGTGCCACCACAGCTCTTAGTATCTTAATATAAGAACATAGATGGTGCCCTGTTGGATCGGACCCTTGATCCATCTAGTCAATCAGTTCGTTCTCATAGTGGCCAACCAATCATACAAGGAAGCCCTCTAATTCCCCAGCAGATGGCGTCCAATTGCAGTCCAGCTCCAATGGAATGTAGTAAGGAGGCTGATTCGGGGGAGGGGGGGTGTTACCTTCCAGAGGAGTAAGAAGCAAAGCAGGTGTGAGAAAATGAAGAAGCCCCTTTCTAATAGTTCATATACTGTAGATGAGATAGTATATGAAATCTGTCAAGCAAAATTTTGTCTATAAGTGTTAAACAATAAAGAACTCAGCTTGGAAGATTTACTATGTATCATTCTTGGTTTTGAGCTTGACACCTCCTGCCATCAAGGCTAACAGCTATTGATCCTTAGCAGAACAGAATGAATTATCCTCATATATTTAAGATTAAGGTTTATGGCTTTTAGTTTAGTTACGTCTCTAACTTATGGAGGAGAAGTATAATGCTGACAAAGATTCAGGCATACCAGAGATAAATTGATTTTGCACATCATGGTAAATACACACATAACTGAATATATAATTTGAGTAAAAATCTTATCTCTGCAACCCTTTGTCTGTAACAAAGCCCTGCTGCTGTTCCAAAATTTTGCTCGTCACTTCATACCCTTTTAATCAGAGTTCTAACCAACACCTTCTCTGTTAATGAACAAATTCCTGCTGTAATGTTCTCGTTTGTTTTTGCAATCTTTCTGAAATCTTCTGCAACTTTTGTATAGGGGAACAATAATGGCCTTTTCCCAATTGTCAGGCAAAGTTAATCTTCACACACATTAAAAAAAAGTTTCATATCCACTCCATAAACAAACCACATCCATATTGTAACATTTCTGTGGCTATACTACAACTCACCCTTTTTTCAATATTCTATCATCATTTATTACTTCCTTTTTATCAGGGTTTGACTTGGTCACTGACACTTATAGCCTAGCATTCATTCCAACTTCACACTGCAATGCACCACATTATAATGTTTATATAATGGATATGTACAATATATACTCTATTAATAATGAAGACTACATAATTTGTTTCTGAAAGTATGTATGTTTGCAGCTTCCTTTAGATTTCAAAATGTAAATCTTAGTTTGAAACTGAAACACACAGGTTGCCTTATTATTAAATATTGCTTTGCCCCCATAGCATTCAGTAGATGCTATGATTATGTCACACACATGATGACTTTATTGCATAATAATGCAATTCAAACAATTTGCATAATTTGCATTACAAGAAGTTAATCTCACTTTCTCCCTCACACGCACACCCCCACACTCCCCCAAAATTACTTTATTATAGCTTTTCTACATGTCTTGTCTTGCTATCTTTTCTATATTTTGGAGTAATTTTTTGCCATTTATCTGCTTTCTTTTTCTACCCATGTTTGATTATAAACATCATGCTGGAAAAAAAACAGCTTAAATTCAGTGTGTTGGTTGATCAAATGTTTAAAATTAATGCATCCAATAATTCCCGTGCTCTGGTTGGTATAAATATCCTTACACAAAATCTTATATAACAGAACTGACACCATAGTTGGTGCAGGAGATTTCTTTGCAATTCTTTCTTAAACTCACCTGAAGAATTTTCCTGACTTTCTTTAGGTTATGTATCAAAAGGAGATTCTTCTCCTGAGAAACACGCCCTAAATGTTCATCCAGTTTTATGAATAAGTTATGCAACAGCATAGCTGCTGTAGACTCATTGCTATATGCAGACTCCCTTTGCAACAGGAAATAGATAAGAACAAAGTACATATATCAAAAATAGTAATGTTTTCAAAATCATTTGTTCAAGAGAAATATTAGGCTCTAAATGGGAGGCCTATAAATTGGTTATACAGATTCTGTTTTTATCTCAAGAAAATATTCTGTATATAATATAAATTATATACAGAATATTATTATAACAATATTATAAAGTTAAATTAAAATAAAATTATATAGGCAAATATAGGATCGAAAGAGCTAATAAAATTATCAGTTTAGTTTTTAAAAAGCTCTCTTCAACTTTAAAACAGCACATATGTATTTAAAGATGTAATATTTACATATTTGTACATATATTTATATAAGTAAGCCCCTTTTACCTTTTTAATTAAATATTATTGTTTGTAGTCCTAAAATTAAAATGGAAAACTGATAAACATCTTATGTAAATTAACATCTGACCATAAATGTAAGAATATTATCAATATACTGTCTTCTGTCCGTGTAGGAGTGAAGAATGGACAGAGAATCCATTTCAAATTAATCATTGGAATTAATTAACAATTGCTGATATGTACTGTCTAGAACACGGGTGTCAAACTGATGCTGTCATGTTGCTGTCACGTGACGTTTCGAGATGTTTTTTTCCCTTCACAGAGCTGCAGGCATGACCTGCACATGATGCATCCAGCCTGCAGGCCGCAAGTTCGATACCCCTGATCTAGAGTTTTGAATCTGGATACAAATGTGTTTACAAAAATAATTACCATACATAGAATCCTCTAAAAAGAATCCTCATGGTGCATTTTATAAAACAAAATATTTTATAGTTTGGCATGTTTATTTCCATGTATCTTTCAGTATCAAAGACAATACGCATAAAAGAATGGCATTATTCCAATGATTAAATGGGTTAATATATTCCCTGAACTTTGTTTGTAGGTAACAAAATGGCTATAACAATAACAAAAACATAGAAAGAGAAGGAACATTAATTCATAAATAATTCATATTTTACTATATACTTTCCAAATTATTCTTGATGGAGTAGGCTTATTGAATATGAAATTGTGTAAAATTATAGTATTATTAATTCTGTACTTTTGAATTATTTGTTATGTCTATTGAATGTTTACTGGTTTAATGCCATTAAACATTAAGCAACAGATCGTGATACAAAACAACAATATTTTATTTTTACTTGGATAATAAAATAACCATATTCCCAAGAAGAGGGTTTTCTTTTTCCTATCCAGGAAGCTATATCTGTATACAACATTGTTCTCAACTTTGGCAACTTGAAGGTGTGTGGACTTGAACTCCCAGAATTCCCAAACAGCAATTTGTAGAATTCTGACTAAGGAATTCTGGGAGTTGAAGTCCACACATCTTCAAGTTGCCAAATAATCACTGGTGCACAACAGTAAGTATAATGCAATCTATATCTGCTTATTCAGCAGTCCCCTAATATTCAAGGCAGAAGAAAAAGAAAAATCATCCAAACTTACCAGTCCTGGCTTTCGATCCACTGTGCTAAAAGATGTCGAATTTCCATGGGAAAGATGTCATCGTAAATCTGGTCTATCTGCTCTAAAAAACAGGGTTCCAACTGCTGCACTTGATTCCACTGAGACATGCTAAAAAAAAAAAAGCCTTGTTTTTTGAGACAAGAAAGATGAGATCTTTCAAATATGATTTCCAAAATTTCCAAAATGGCTGGCCAGTATGATTTGCAAAATTGCCAGCTAACAAAAACTCAGAGAGGACTTAAAAGCCTTTTCCAGACAAATGAAACTTGCTGGTTAGAGGTAAACAATATATGGAAAGCTTGAAGGGATGTAGCTTTTTCATACTTTGTCCCAGTTTGCTTTGTATTAAGGAAGTTATATTGTTGAATTAACATAAGTTTACCACTTTAAGAAATGTATTAATTGCCAAAATAATTTCATACGTTGTGCAATTTTGGCACTGTAAATGCCAAACAATAACAGTCAATTGACAGACAATAACAGTCCATTGATCCTACTTAAAATCTCTACTTTTAATTACTTTATTGTGGTGGCACGATTGTTAGAAAGCAGTATTGCAGGCTAATTCTGCAAACTGTCAGCAGTTCAATCCTGACCGGTAAAATGAGGACCTAGACTGTTGGGGGCAAGTATGCTGACTCTGTAAACCACTTAGAGAGTAAAGCACTATGGAGTGGTATATAAGTCTAAGTGCTATTGCTGTTGCTACTTTATCATTCTGTAAACTTTGTTTGATATCTGTGTATATTATTCAAATACTTCAAAACTTGGTGCAGGCTGGGACTTATGCTTTCTTTTTCCACTCTTTGTCTTGAAGAAAAAAACAGTAGTACAAAATTCCAGAAGCATCAACAGTAGAAAAATAGAGATGATTGCATAAAATGTTTCTGAAGCACACATTGGAGTTCTGTTGCTGAAATCCCATATTTAGTATTGGAAAACAATACTTGTTACTAGTCAGAATGTTAACGAAATCCAGCTGACATTGTTTATTATCCCTGTATTTTGGTTCATCAACCTTATTCTGTGTACAGTAGCTGTCAGTTAATTTTCCCCACTCCCCGCCTTGTCTACAGTGAGGGCTATAATTTTTATTCTACCTTCAGGGCATATTTGCATTATACCTCCAACACCACCTGGCTGATGAAGGTGAGAGCAAAGGGCACATTGTAAAGAAATGGGTACAAGTATTCATTTTGACAGAGGGGATTTGGCCTTTGCGTGGTGCAATTGTATTCTTTCAATTTCATTAAAAAGTGCTTTTATTTCTGGAGGGATTTCCGGTTTGTCGGCTTTGCGAGCGGTAGGGATTCGCAAAGCTGCGCGATCCCTGCCGCGCTAGCCGGTTTTGGGGCTCCGATCCGAAAGGGTGCGGAGCAAGGCTGCCCTGCAGGGGCAGCTGAAGGTAGGGGGGATCCGGGAAAGGGTTTGGGGGTGCTGCAGACCCCCTCCCTAGCCGGCAGAACCTCCTTTTACCAAGACGGTGCAGCGGCGGTCCGTAATGGCCGCCACAAAGAAGCTGGCAGCTGGGCAAGTATGCGCTGGAGGAAGAGGAGAAAGTTTTTAAAAGTGAAAGTCTTCTTGGTTGACCCAGGACTCTAAGATATATTTAATTTAATTCCTGAAAATGATGGCTTTTTGGGTGATTCTTTCCACAAGAGAAAATAAGCGGCAATTCTGAGGTGCTGAAAGGAAAGTTTACTCTCCCCCCCGACGGAATTAATAAATGGATATTGAGAAACCTGTTTTTTTTTCAGGTAAAACTAGCTTTTTGGGATAAGTTGGAAGGGAGAGGACAAAAAATATATTTATCTGGTTGGACTTTGTTGGAGGAGATGCCTTAAGGATTTGAAAACAGAAATAAAATCTTAATAAGGCTTCAGAACACAGATTTGAATTTTCTTTTTTTCTTTGTCTGATACTACCCCTGGAAGAGAAAGGGGGAATTTTGGCTTGGCTTGGATTGATTGAGGATTCTGGACTTTGGGATTGTCTTGTTTTTCTTTTGGAATATTTTGGTTGGTGTGAGAAGAAAGAGGGAAAAAAAGAAAAGAAAAGATCTACAATGGCTTTTTCCTTTGAGGAACTGAGAGATGAATATGAGCAAACAAAAGCAGCCTGTAAAGATGGTATGGAAAAAGCTTTTCTTTTTTTAGAAATGGCGTTGGTTAACTACGAACAGACAATACAGATGGAAGTAGAAGAACAACAAGATGAAGACGCCATCTTTAATGAATCCCAAAATTCATTTAAGAAAGAAGGAAGGAAGAAAGCGAGGAAAATGAAGGACTTAAGATCTAAAAAAACATTTAAAAAAGAGAAAAATATGATGCAAAATAAATACAATGATAGCAAACAAGAGAAAAAGGGAATACAACAGAGAAGGGATGCCGGCAAGACAGAGGTTAGAAGAAGGGGGGGTAGGAAGATTTGGTGGGGGAAGAAAGAAAGGGGAAAGGCGGAGAAAAGCCACAAAGTTTTAAAATTAGATGGGAAAAGAGGAATCTTTTTTAGGGATAATGGGTAAAGTATAAATTTTCTTAAAAAAGATTCTGCAAGGTACACAAGATGGTATTGTAACATTTGTATTAGAAATAGAAAATTAGAATGGCTTAAGAGTTAATAAGAAATTAAAATGTTGAAATGTTTAATAATGATTGATTTTTAAAATGTAATAAAATATTGAAGGGAAAGGCAATGAGAAGGCTATAAGATTTATTATTTAGATTTATTATTTAACTACGTATTTAGGAGGATATTATGTATTTAAACATTTTTGATTTTTACTCTGTTTTTATTGTTACTAAAAGTAAAAATTAGTAGATAGAATGTACCAAGCAGAATCAAATTG